TGTGTGTGTATCGTTTAGACTAGTGACAGTGTTTGATGGCTTTGAACTTAACCAAAATCATATGCGCAGCAGCTAGTGGTCAAGTTTATTAGAGTTGTGAATGGATTTGATGATTAGTAGTGCTCACGTGGATACCGAGAACGATTATTATTTGTTATTATCTGTTCTTATATCAATCATGCTAGCCAGCAGTAGGAGTAGCAGTAATTAGTTAAGTAGTAATTGAGTGAATTAGTATATAACACAACGTGATAATCGTTGATGTATCGGTTAATTAATTCAAATCATTGTAAGTTTAATTGGATTGATCTAGCAACATAGTAATTGTTAGAATAATCAAATCAAATCAAATCACATCATTATATCATATCAAATTACTGAACTGATCATGGTTTCATGATAATCATCTGAGGGTGCCAGATTATAATCAGATAATCGAATTATAATACATCATTTAACTTATAATTTATCATCTAACATGTAGTATCCATCCATCTAACAAATTTACCGCACAGGTGCGAATCGCTGAATCGAATCGATCACTCTATTGATCAATCATTCTATGAGTATAGATCTACTTGTATTCATAATCAATTTGCTAATTAATTTGATATTAATCATTCTAACGGTAATCAATTAATTAGTCACTTGATTGATTAACTGTTCAAGAAATCAATCTGTTCATTCACTGTTCAACACTAGGTAATGACTTTATATTCGAGTACTCCTTTTCAGTTGCAAATAATAATGTATCAGGTAATAATTAAAACGTATAGTTGCGTAACTATTTGTGGTATAATAAAAAGTAGTATTGAGTTTGTAGAAGGTGATGAATGAAGGGTGACAATTGAGTGATATGATTAAGTGACCTTTTGACTTTAATGATGCAACCGTCGTCAGTATGCAGCCGGTCGTGATAAATACCCTCAAGTATGTGATCCAGTGTAATAAGTATAGTAAAAGTAAAACTTTAACTATTCATTCATTTCTCTTAAAGATGGCCAGCCAGCCTGATAGAAGAATGATAGAAGTGTTGATGAGCAATCGAGAGTTATACGATGCCGACCGACCGACCGGCCGATCGGCATCAAGCTGAAATCAAGTGTTATCACGCTTTTTATCACTATTTTGATCAGTTTTCGTAGCGATTAGATAGATAGATATGTAAGCGAGCAAACGACAAGAATATATATATATTTATGATCAACAAGTTGTGTTATTATTGAGAGGCAAGCAACTACCGTAATCCGCCGTATGTGCCTAGTCGTATGCGCAACGTTTTATGTGTGTGTGTGTGTGTATGTCTAGTTGTGCGCGACGAGACAACGAATCTCTCTAATGTGTGCACATTAAAGAGTGATTGGGTGAGCGAAAGAACTTATGATTTTATGATGGTGAGATGGATGGATGGCGTTTGTTAATAATAGTGATGATGATAAATGGCTTATGAGTTGTGAATTGACTTATGAATGCGGTTCAATTCGGATCATTTCTAGCCTGGTTTTAACTGCTTTAGCTTACGATTTAGTGGCTGCTTGGTGTGTGCTTACCTTCCGGCAATGTTTAACGTGTTCGCTGCGCTCGGCTGTTATTCGCCTTTCCGTTTTTAAGGGATTTAAGGGATTCTTTCAATAATTGAAAAGGTTTTTCTGCTTATTTTTTTGGCTTCTGAAAGGAGGGGAAAATTATGTGAAAATGACAAGCTGAAGGGATAATTTGAAGACATTACTATTAGGTGAATGGATAGATGAATTGACTGCATGAATATGGTCATTTAATTTTGTTCGAACGCCTCGCCTCGGCTCGGCTCTCGCTCTAAACTGCCACAGAAGTGTTGTTTGAAGATGCCGATCAAACGATATGAAGGAGAAGAAAAAAAAGCGATACAATCATCGATATAATGACCTTAACTAGTGAAAAGAGCAGTGTATGAGTTGATAACATTAACAGTAAGATTGGAATGTGTATGCTGCACGTACAGGTCAGGCCATTAGGTTAGTGGAATTCAGATGAGCAATTCAAAGAGAATTGACCGAGCGAGCCTGTTCTGTGGCCATTAGTCGATAGCTGCTAACATGCTGCTGCTGCTTAGTATACGGTATGAATAATGTGCTGCTTCCAAGTTAGCTGCTGCTTCAAAGCACAATCACTGCTTTGAAGAAATATATTTGCTGACTACAATTAGCTGTTTGGTTTTTTGACTTTTGACGACTATCGTCGATAGATAGTCGAACTGCTCCAATGAATAATCCATCCGGAAGCACAATAGGTTGGTTTCTAACAAGCGTACATTAAGTAAAAACTAGTAATAGTAAGTAATAAATGAAAGTGTAGAGGTTGTTAATTAAAGATGGTTGTTAATTAAAGGTTTGGTTTTCGAATCGTCGAGCGAAATGGAGACGAGAAGAGAAGCTTCGCAATCAGAAACGACCCAACATGGATACGAGCTCATCGATGGGTTCTGCAAGCGCCAATGTTGTGAGCACATCCAACAACAGTGTCATCGCAGGTTCGGCATCTACACAAGGTGAGCACATCCCCAAATTCGGGCATAGCAGTCATCAGTCACTCAGAATAGCATTTTTTTCATTTCAGGTTCTCTAATGAATGCTGCAAGTGGTATTGCAGCAGCTGGTGCTGGTAACGCATCTTCAGGCGGGCCAGGCGCTCAACTGGGAACAAGTCCGACCGCTACGCCATCAAGGTTTACCAATCCGCTCGTCAGCACAAGCAGTTTCCCCCCATCCGGTGGACAGATGTACCCATTAACACAGCCTACCATGGATCCCTATGGGTGACTGATTATTTTTTAGGCACTTCTCTTCATCTCTTGACTCAATCATATTCACCTATACTCATTAATATATTAATGATGGTGATAATAATAATAATACTATTAGCTAAAAGAGTAATTATTATTCTCACTATTAATTTTACAATTTCAGCTAACTGTTGAAGTTTAGTTTCAGTTTCGCGAATGCCGGTTTAAGTATGGCGCCGCCACAACATCCTTCCGATTTCAGTTCATATCACATGTTCCCGGGAGCGGCCAGGTCACCCTACGACGCATTTCACGTGAGACGCATTTCAATCTCTTCTCTAATGATATAAACCTGATAATAATAAGGGCGATAATAAAATAATTCATCTCATCTGATCTCATTAAATTGCAGCCGTACGCGCGCTCCATGCAACCTGGTGCACCCCCTACGTTCGCCACTGCAATGAATCCCACGTCAATATCAAATGTTAGTGGTAAGTGATCATCATCATATCAGAACATTGAAGTGTTATTTTGTTTGCTTGAATTTTATTCGTGAAGGAAAGTAAGAAGCAGATCGATGATAGTGTTTAGTGAATAGAATAATCAATATTTATATGACGGGTGCAAGCAAGCAAGCAAGTACATTGCAGTTATTTTCTACGACGATACAATTGTTCTTGTGATGAATCTTGTGCGGATATTATGCACAAGCTGTAATCCTTCTATAATTTGAGTGAATCAGGCGAATTTAAATCAAAAAAAGAGGATGGAATATAAATATATTTGGATATTGGTATGAAATGAAATAAAACGAAATGAAAATGATAATAATAGTGAATTTCAAATGGAATTTCAAAAAGAAATTGTTTTTGAGAGTAGATGAGCGGTAGTGCGCACATTTTAATGAAAGATGAATAAACGACCGATTTGATGATTTTGACGACTGTGTTTTTTAATGCGCTTTTAATGGGAAAATGCTAAAAGTTTTGGTTGATTGGTTTAATTAAGAAATTAAGAAATAAATAATTAAACAATAATTAAAATAAACAAAAGGAGAGTGCGCGCTAAGGAAGTGAATCAAATCAAAAAAAAGTTCAAAAGAATACCGACGGTGATGCGTACCGAGGATGCATGTGCACGGTTTGCAATAGGTGCTCGCTCTCCTCTCACCCGTTGAATTCTAGTGATAATCAATCGCGCCATCATTAGAACGATAGCGCTCATGATAATGGTCGTCATTTGAATTAAAGCGGTGATTATAAAAGTTAAAGGTAGTTGACACTGGGCAAGGAAGGGCAAAATTGTCCTGGGCAGTAATTATTTGTTTTAGAGATAGATTTAAAGCGAAAAAAAAACAACAATTTAATTAATGCGTCTTTAAACTGCCGACCGTTCGGCCGAAAGTTGAAGGACTGACTTGACGACTGCTCACCCGTGTGAAGGAATAATGAATACTATGATTGATATTATGATTATTTTTGTTATTATTACGATTGGAATAGAATAAACTAGCTGAAATGAGTGATGACTGATTAGTTAAGTGTAGTACTGAAATTGAGGTTGGTTTGCAAACAGCAGCAGAAGAACTTCAGTCATAATAGTAGTAATAGTAGAAATGGGAGAGATGGCCAACGACAACATATTACTATTGTTGGTGTTATAGTTTTGTATAAGTAGTTAAATGTAAGTAAGTGAAGTTTGTAAGTAGTTAAATGAGAATGAATTGTCATCATTACCATGCATTAGGGCTTATCTGGTTGATTCGAAGAGGGCACTTACTTCTTAGTGAATTATTTCGCTCATTAAACGAGCACTCGATTGAGATCTTCTCAGCTGATTTTGAATTGAATTCGTTGATTTGATGATGGTCAATTAAGTACTCTTCATTTGTCTGATATTTATGTGCTTGATCTTAAACATTTATCATTTGATTTGTGATCACATCATTAGTTGATTCACTTACCTACCTTTCACCTACCTGTGCGTTGTTGTGTACTGTTTTGCATTCACTTTTTCATTGATTTTATTGACTACTATTCGGTTTTATGGTGAAATTAAAGGTAAGGTGAACAACTATTAAAGGTTAAGGTGAACTTTGTAAATGAGTTATTGGTATGAGTGATTTGATTTACTTGTTGAATTACTTGATCAGATTGATCAGTATTGATCAGTATCAGTATTGATCAGTGTAATGAGATGCTGCATGGATTGATAAATTAAGTTGAGTGAAGAATTTGCGTGTGTTCACAGAATTGCCATCACGGCAAAAAGGGGAACAGCGAAAAGATTTATGGCAATGAGTGTGAGTTTTGCAGGGCTTGGAGCAGCCGGTATGAGTTTACCGGTGTCGGTATTGTCGCAGATCGATCAAAGCCTTCCAGCGCCACCTCCGTCAGCCGCAGGCACCACCCAACAACCACCACGATTCGACGAGTTGACCGATGTCCATCATGACACGCAGTACTGGCGTTCTAATTTCTCATCCTGAAGTTCACATTAAAACAAACAAAACGATTTATTTTGATTTGCTATTGCTGCTGTTTCAGTGAATTTTCATTCGATTCGATTCAATTCAATTGGATTGCTTAAATTCGGTTGGTTAGCTTAATTAATTGTTAAGCATTTTGCATTGAGCATTGAGAATTGAGTATATCAATTACTGATTGTCAATCATTTAATCAATCGATTCATCGATCAGCCAATAATTCATCGATCAGCCAGTTAATCAGTCAAATTAACACAACAACAGAGCAATATTTCGCTTACTGCTCTACTTCTATCAAGTGGCCGGCTCTAAGTTGATTGGCTGATTGATTCAGAGCACTACTACTGCTGGCTGGCGATATGCATCGTGTCTCTATCTATCACCTAAGCAGCCAGCATTATTATTACTATTATTGTTGTAAGTGCATCATCCATTTATCAGGCCAAACCACTAAGTATTTATTTGGCCAGTGGAACGTCGTCGTCATGGCGTTTTGTTTGGAAGCTTACAATCGGAATCATTTTAAGTTTCTTTCTTTCTCAAGTATCAAGGGACTGAAACCTTAGGCAGGTAGGGCCTTAACTTAGTCTCGGATGAAACTCATGAGCCTGCTTGAGATGTGCAGGCAGCTTTTAGTAAGATAGTTTGTGATCAAGACGCCATGACAGCCGTCAGTGTTATTTATTCGTTATTATTCAATTTATTTTTAACAGTGGCGTTGAATCAATGGACCAATCCTGTATTATACGATCAATAATTATAACCGTGTTGTATTGTAACCGTGTTGATTGATTGCAGTTCGTTTGTTTGTTTTGTTATGCTTAAAATTAAATTTCTATCTGAATAATAATAGTAATAATAATAGCGATTTATTTTTACTTTATTACTGTTATTGTTATTGTCATAGCTATTATTATTATTATTGTTAACTCTTACAGACATATTAACTCATCATATTAACAGTAATTTCGTGTCGTATTGCATTCAAGGAGTTCTTATAAAATGACCAATATTGCTAATTATATTTATTATTGTCATTATTATTGTTATTAATATCATTATTATTATTATGTGTTATTGTTGCATGATCATGATTCCTTCCTCTCGTTCTTGACAATACAGTATGCCATTTTTTTGAATGACTACAGATTTTTCTATTCGTCTCCTGTTCGATTGTTCCATGAAAACATATTCATTGAAAAATACATATCGAGCTTATTTTATTATTATTATTATTGTTATTTTGCTGAACTCTTATTTTTATGAGTGGCAGTTATTAATTGATGTGTTAATACACTGAATGACGAAACACAAACCTATCTATTATATGTATGGAACAAGTAGAGTAATGTAATCGTAATCTTCTATTGTTATCGTAATCTCACATTATTACTGATTATACTATTACTATAGAGTATTGTTCAGAGAGCATCATGTCTGTATCTGTCATCTTATGGGTGTTCGTCATCGTCATATAGAGCCAGCAGCCGTAAGCCAAACGGTTTATCTGCTGTCTGTATGTGTCGTGTGTTATTTGTATTCGTCGCATTCGGTTTGCTGCTAAGCGACAATAATAATCAGTTTTCGAACGATTCCATTCATTCGATTCCTCGAAACCCTTTCTGTTCTGAGCCTTGAAACTCCGTGTTTAGTGGTGTAATTCTAGTTGGTTTGAAGCTGAATTATACCAATAAACACACACTGGCATAGTAGTATAATCTTCATTATATTGTTATCAGTCGTTGTCTTTTTGGATTGTTTTTGGATTGTATTGTTTTAAGCATGGATGATGAATATTCAACAGTTACTTTTAACTTATATTCCCAATTAATTAAGTAATTAATTAATTAATCTGCTGCTGCATTTGTTGTTTTGCATTATTATGGTTGTGTGTGTGCGTGTGTGTATGGTATGATGTAGTTTTTGATTGATATATGTAATTGGTTATCATCCTGTTTCAAATACCTATTAATTAACGTTATTATTATAATTATAATTATAACTAACTTGGTGATGATGAAGATAAATTTTTGATGAAAAATGGAGTGTGAACCCGAAGCGGCCGCGTAAATCGGATACCATATGTGCGTGATCGTGCATATAGTTGATGATGATGTGATGATGATAGACATCGAGTTCACAAGCTTAATATTATTACTGATACCTTTTTTTCGATTTTTTTCGATCTGGAATTATGGATTTTTGCTTTGTTTTTTTTTTCAAACCGAATTTGGCTTGATTTATATTTGTAAATTATTTGCACACGCACACACAGCTTTCCGGCTTGTTTCTGTGTTATGGAAATTTCTAGCAGGTCGTGGTGGGGCAGGCGTCATTGAACGATGTGTGTGGCAAGTTGTCTTTGAGTGCTTTTGGCGATTCGTCCGTGGTTCTTTGCACCCAATCTTTGCACTCATTAATTTTGTGGACTGACTCATGTCTGGTTTCGTCTAGTTTTGATCAGTGTGCAGTCAGTGATTACCTTGGATATGTCATCAGGTACGTGAATTTAAACTTGCTTGCTTGAATTTAAAGTGGTTGCTTTGAATCCGTTCGCTATTTTATTCGCTTGAAGTGAACGTGTTCAGATTTGGTCTGATCGTTGATTTTTTGTTTAATCATCACGTACACGTACCTTGCAACATCGATCACCAGTCACCAGTTCATTCTCATTTCAGCAGCCACAGCTGCAGCCATTACAAAATGGGAGAAATTCTTTCTGGAGGCCGGCTGTCCAAGGCGTGTTGCCATGCAGTATTCAAAGCTGTTTGTGGAACAACGTATACGTGAAGCAATTTTGCAAGATATCGATAAGACGACACTCGTCGAGCTTGGTATTACGACGATTGGTGATCAGGTACGTGCCTAGTGCCCGTGCCACAAATGCTGATTAAATTGGTTGCCCGTTGATCGTTATTGATTGATTGTGATCGTTAGATGTGATACGCTGCTCATATTGTATTTGCAGTTGGCTATATTAAGACACATACGTCGTCGAGGCACAGCAACAGAACAACAACAGCAACAACAACCACAAACGATACAATCATCACAGAAACGGCGTTCGAAACAAGACGATCGAATACATGATAACGATGATGATGATGATATGGAAACGGATGACGAAATAGCCGTTAGAGGGCAAGACAAGCGATTAGCCACGTCCGCATCAAATCCTCATAAAACTACTAATACTACTACTAGTTAGTTGTTATTGCCTTGGTAATCAAAGATTCGAAGTGAAATTTTTTTTGGTTGGTCATGAGACCGACCGGCAAAAGAAAAGAATCCGTCATCTGAATGATGGGTTTTGTGTTCGTTTTGTTTTGCAAAAGAAACGAAACAAACTAATCGCAGCCTCAGTGACACCGTCCTCGTCATGTTCATCTTCATCATCATCATCACGAGGCGTAGTGAAGGCACCGGATCGTGACGATATCTATCACATACATATGCCAGCCGGTATAACATCGAAGACCAGGGCTATTATGGCCAAAAATGATCGATTGAGATCAGTGGGTTAGTGTTGCTGCTAATAATTGAGGTGTTTGTTTCATTTCATGTTAGTTTTTGAGCTAAGACAAGACAAGGCAAGGAAGGCGGCAGCACAATTCACAAAGTTGCCTTATTATGGATAGTTGTTGTTGAAGGTTTATTGAAACGTGGTCTATCGGGTGTGCGTGTATCGGGTCAAGAAGTGCAACGATATGTGCATCATCAAAACAGCAATAAAATTGTGATCGCTTCACCAGGTGATCGCTTCAGTAATTTTTTTTTTCACGTCTCCTTTTCGAATGGATCATTTTAGGCTTGTTAGGTGGTGATATGAAATGTGTCAAGTTTTCAGTATGATCGTGTATGGTTATTATGATCACACGAGTTGTATTAAGTAGAGTAGAAAGTGGGCTTTAGAAGGCGCTAGGATTTGCAAAATACCGAGCTTGTTGCGTTGCCTTGAAGGTTCGGGATTAAATGTTGGCGGCGTGCGGGGATGTGAGCGTGAAAACCCTCCTAGAGGGTGTGACTAGAATTTTCGATGCATTTTGTGAGGGAGGAGATGAGAATGTTTGTATGGATGGATGAAGGGATTCGTAAGATCGGTTTAATTTTTAAATTCTTAGACAATTTTTTTAAATTGCTATCATCGTAAGATCAAAAATTTTCAGAGGTTTCTTCAACAACCGTGCTGAGTGGCAAAAGTAGTAGCCAGTTGAATGAGCGAAGGCGACGGATTGGTGGTGCAGCTGGGGCAGCAGCAGAGGATTATGTGGTTTACGAGCGACTTGGCGTGGGCGGATTGAAATCCGATGCGTTGCCACAAGCACGTCGTCTGATGTTGAGGCGGGTTTTGCTTGGTTGAGTAGAATGAATTGTGTGTGATCAGATGAGACAGGAATGGGTTTTTTTTTTGTTTTTGCAAGGGAAGATTGACACTGTTTTACTTTGGTAGGGTCGCACGCTCGCTCGCCTACAACGATACACGCATACGCTCGCACAATATGAATGACGCTTTCACATGAACCGAGGCCACGCCTACTGCACATGGCCTCAGCTTAAGCCTAAGCCTGAACTGGATTGCTAGACCCTGTTGTGATCTGCTTATGCTACGCTTACTAGATGAGGTTGAGGTCACACTTAGGCTGAGGCCATGCGCAGTAGGCGTGGCAACGGTTGTTATACGCGGGCGTGCTCGCGTGCGACCCCCCCTCTCCCCCAAAGTAAAAAAGTGCTCACTTTAGATTTATTTGAGTGTTATCGATTAGTAGTAAACGTGAACAACGTTTAATGTTTTTTTTAGTGGTCAGCGTGGTGATAATGTAAATGAATTGCGAGCAAGAGCACGAGTACGAATGCAAACATCATCAGTTGAAAAGCAAGGAAACGACGATGGATTTGTTGCGAACGTTGCACCGCCAAATCCTGTAGCAACGAACAATCCTTCAAATGAGCCAGTGTTTCGAGTGAGAATCCCGACTGGAGGAATACCGGCAAGAGGAGTTACAGTGG